GAAACAGTGATATTGATATAGTTTTTGTTTATTTTTGTTAAACGTAACAATTTCCGAGGTAATGCTGCTGCTGCCTGCTTGCAGAGCAAATGGGGAAAGTGAGAGCCGGCGGCGTCATCATTGAGTGAAATATAACACTTTTTGCGGAGATGTTGGTTGTAGTTGGGCAGATTTGGAACCAATTCATGCGGAAAACTAACTGCCACGGTGTGCTTGACGGAAGGCTGTATTTGAGTGCCGAAAACACGGCAATGTTTCTTCTTCCTGTCAGAATAAAAATTGGCAGTAAAATAGTAGGCGCGCATCTGAAATTATATTTGTTGTATTTTCGTCGTGTGAAGATTGTGTTTTACTCGTAAAGGGCATAACCCCCCCCCCCCCCTCAATATACAACAAAATAAGATTATTTCCCGAAAGCGGGTCAGAACATGTTTATTTAATATGTAAAACAGGCCGAAGTGTTGAATTATTTATGCATTGCAAACATTGTGGAAAAGTTCCAAAACATTTATGTTTTGATGCCAAGTATAAGGTTCAGCAGTTTAGGGGAAGCGGTGATGTAGCAGTTAGCTCACAGCGCTCTGAACCACGGTGATTTCGGCACGATCCGATTTCCGCAGCCAGCATCAATGGCGAGTGATATCTGAACCAGTCCTGCGCCCCGACCTTCAGCCTGCACTGTACAATGCGGTGAAGTATGGTAAAACAACCCCGATGACGATTTTGCACCGGGAGGCCTTCATCCAGCAGTGGATTACTGAAGAAATGTAAATTAACATTTTATTTTGGCAAAAAAGAAACTATGGGCAATGTTGGCGTAGACTCCTATGTTTCTTGCACTTGTGTGCTGTATAGCACATTGCTTGTTATCATTTGAATTATTTTATAATGTAATTTTTGTAATAAACTGTAATAAAATAATGAACGGTTTGATAACGCAGGCAGCTGTTATCGTGGGCACGATTGCTGTAATTACATTGGGAAAGTCTGCCAACCCCGCTTTAATGTTCCGTTAAATTTGTGTAAATTCAAAGGGAATGGGTACGGGCAGTCCAGAGGGTGTAATTAAAAATGTTTAAATTTAGAAAAAGAGATTTTATTTGGGTTTTTTTTTAAACAAAATCTCACGTTATTCAAAAGAACAACATTTTTACCAGTCGTTTTTTTATTTTTGTAATTTTCCTCTTTCAATATTTTTACTTTCTTCCCAAGGATGTTGTTAACATGTCACGCATTTTTTTCAGTTTTTTCTTTTCATGTGCATGAGACAGCAATGGGATCTGTTTATGATGCAGACATATTTACGACTGGTTCATTTGTTAGCAGGAATTTGGTGGGTGGAGTGAGTGGTTTTGTGTCTGCCACATCTGGTACCGATCTGAAAGGTCACAGAGGGATTATTGTTGATGCTGGAGAAAAGTCTTCTCTGCTATGGCTACTTCATGCCAGTTGCTGCTCTTTATTTGTTTTCATTTAACGTTTTGTCTTTTTTTTTCAAGTTCACAGACCATTTAGGCTGCCGAAAATTGCACTTCCGTACCAATAGTCATTAAATATTTAGACATGGTATTATCGACATCATGCAGCTGTGATCAATCCACTGCTGGATGAAGACCTCCCCAATTCGTCGCCAAATCTCATGGGTTTGTGATGTAACATTCCACCTCGTAGTTGCACATGGGCTGATTAGATTGCTCCATCTCCTCGGTGTATGTACTTTCTCAACATCTATTGTAAACATTTATCCAAAGAAGAAAACACGCCCGAGAGGACATTTTGCACACAGGTGGAGCGATGAAATCAGCTGGTGGGCAAAAGCTGGATATGAATTGTTGCATTACAAGACCGTAAGAGATGGCGACATCTTGAGAAGGCTTTCATTTAACAGTGGATAGATCATGCATGGTGGTGCTGTAATACTGTTCATACAAAGGGTGGTAAAAATGTTGAACAGGACATTTAAAACATCCAAAGGCTCATGGGTAAAATCCATTTTACAACACATGGTGCACCTCTTAATTCTACTACTGTGTACCATGATTATGGTACGGTAAGACTTAAAAAATTAGTGACGTTAGTTTAGCACAGTTTTCAAAATACATATTTCAAACCCATTTGACTGCCAGTCATGACGTATATACTGTATACGCGTGCTCTCTTGCACAGTGATGTGCACTGTACTATTGACCCCGGACTGTCGGTGAGTGGGGTCGTGATGGTAATTGTTTTTGAAGCTTTGCCTACACAGTGTGAATTCTAAAGAGTGAAGGGGTTTTAAGTACGAGGGCCGCGGCTGCCGGTAGTAGCCACGTGCACAAGGGTATTGTCCTAATTCACCTCATTCGCTGTGGTTCCCTCTGCCTTCAGTGCGGGTTCCCGTGAATGAAACAGAAGGAAAGAGCGAGATAAGAATATATGGAAAATATATATATGAGAAGCACTCGGGCTTTAAGAAACTATTAATGCAAGTGTCTACAGCACGACGTTGCACATCTGACCGTCCCCTAAGAAGTGTTTCATTCCGGATAACTTATATTTAAAGCTGCACAATGACATGACGTCACGCGGCGCATGACCTTTGATGTCGCGAGAGGACAGCACCTGCCATGCCATCATCGGGAGGAGAGAGACAAGGCTTGCTCCCTCCCCTTTTGTGCTGTTTGGTGAATCCCTTCAGTGCTTGTTTTGGGCGGCCGTTTCATTTATTTGTCAGGTTTTTTTTCCAATGGGTAAGTCCCTAATAGCAATAAAACATTACGCTAAACTTCAGTTCATATTTGGTCATTTTTTACGAGATTTATTGCGTTCGCCCCCGTCCCGTCCTTCCCCCCCACTACAGACAGACGACAGAGCTAAGAGCTAATTAATGAAAAACAAAAAGAGTCACCCCATTGACATAGCTCTTGACCTTGTCTGCTGGCTGGTGGAATGTGCAACGCACAACAGCGCATAGCGCACGTACAGGAATTTTTCTTGTCTTGAGAGTGTTAACAACGTGACACAAGCCATCATTACCATTTATATTCCGCACCCCCGCCCGCCCCCCCCCCCCCCGACTCTTCATCTCCCAAAAATGGTTGGCTCATTAATCTTTATTAGTTACCACGGTACTGGCATCGAAGTCGAGGGTCTTAAAAAAAAGAGCGAGTTGAAAAATGCTCTGCTCTAAATATCTATAAATATTGCTCCATATTTTTCAGGGTGGTTAATGAACCTGGCTTGGGTGCGGGTCCATGTCTTTGGGTAAGTTCCCCCGGTTTTCACGGCATGTACTGAGCACGCGTGCTTGTGTCTTCACAGTGAGGTCGCTGCGTGGTCGGTGGAAAGTTGGACCGCGCCACGATTTTGATAAGCGCCTCCTCACCTCCCCCCCCACCACCAAACGATTCCAGACTTTGGCCCGCAGGCTTTCTCAATTTGGAAAGGGTATCGTATTGCTTTGAGCTCAGCTATGAAAAATTAAGTTACGAGAATATACCTTAGCGACTTGAGGTGGACAGCTATTGCTATCTCCGCCCCTTGTAGGAGATGGTGTATGGAAAGGTCATTTCAATATGGTAGTATTGATTTGGTATTATGAGGTGTTCTTAAATACCTTTAGCACGGCTTGACCTCGATAACATGTGCTTGGGTATTCACATAGCTTTTAGTGACGTGTTGCTCAAGACAGTTTGGCTGAATTACACCTCTCTCGTATCTGTATATATTTATATTAATACTCTTGTGCGTATATAGAGGTATTGATTCATCAATTAGTTTTTTTCTCTGCCAACATTTCGCTTTGCTGGTGATGTACTTTATGGCTACAGTTTTACCAGCTGTGAGGATTCAATCATGGAAGTCTATACCACATATTTTTTAAGTATAAACATCAGCCCCCTACTTAAATAGAACATAGAGTGCAAGGGGTTTTACATTCCTATTGAACCTGTCACGCCACTATTGATATCCCCAAGGATTTTCTCAAAACCCTTCTGTTAACTGTGTAAAAATAATATCAAAGACAAAAAAACTTCCAAAAATGTATCATGTCCTTAAAAAGGCTAGTTAGATGAAATATTGCCTAATTGGCATTTAGCTTGCTTAACATCAATTAAAATTCCTTGTAGGTTTTTATTTTTGGACGTTTTGAAATCAAGTTCAGGGTTCACTGGCCAGAAACCCTAAACCTGGCCTCATTGGCAATGTGCCAAGGGCATGAGCCATGTGCCTTTCTGTCGCTGGCTCGTGGTGGTTACAGTTACGCTTGCACCCTTGACATACTTAAGCTGTTATAAGCCAGTGTAAAGGTTCACTGTTATTCCAAGCAAATAGAGCCTGTTACACATCTCAAAGACATTGTTAATCTTTTTAAACATCCCATTTTCATCTCAATGTTTATAATGTGAATGTGTTAAAACATTGATTTGTTAATTACTTTTAATGCTAAGCATCTATCCAAAAAAATATCTCGGGGGTCTGAAGTCCTTTTTTCAAATAGGGTTCAGCATTGGGAGGTTTGGCTAATTACATAAATGAATGGACGGTTTTACAATACAACAGTGATTTATATAGCATTTCAATGTCACTGCATTTTTAGCAAGAAACCATGCGAGGGAGAGACACTCCGTTGTGCCACCTTGCAGTTCCATGTCTCCAACATCTGGCAAGCCCTGTTGGTCACCCTTTTAAATACTAACCAGGTCTCGAAAATCTTCTTAGCATCTGAGATTTAGCAAGATCGTGCACATTCAAGGTGTTTGGCTTTCGGCAAATATTAAAAAAAAGTGCTATATTACTTTATAGCTTCACACTCTGCAGTAAAATAATTGCTCGCAAGCACTCGCCGTGTGTATTCTTGGCAGTGATAATTCCTTTGGTGCATAATAACGTGGCGTCCGAGCTTGCTGTTTGAATCCCAAGCTGCTGACTCAGGAGATTTGATGAGCATGGGCCCCCCTCCCCCGGGCCACCTGACCGTGCTGGATATTGACGTGCCGGCGTTTCTTGTCGCCTTTTAGACCTGGAGTGGGTCAATGTGGAGCGACCTCTTTCGCTGCACGCAGACCTACAGGGCAAGGTGCTGGTGGTGGACTTCTTCACCTTCTGCTGCATCAACTGCATGCACATTCTCCCGGACCTGCATGCCCTGGAGGAGAAGTTCTCAGAGAAAGGTGCTGCCTAATGCCCAGCCAATCGCCACCTTCGCCACACGTCCGCACACAAGCCTGATTGCTTCGCAGCCCTGAGGCGATATGCCTTTGCCTTTATGCCTGCGGGAATAGTGTGTCCCATTGCCACCTTGATAGATCACGATTAGGGTTTGTGGATATGGTTAGGAATAATGTGAAATATTGAGTCTGACCCCTTAAGCCTAGCCTACTAAGTGACCATGACCCTTGATGCATTGCATTCTGCTGTGCAGGCATTGCTCGATGAGATTGAGTACTGTGAGGTTAATGTGGGTATGGTAAAAGGGCAGCTGTGGAGTTTGGCACATTTACCCAAGTCAGTTCAGTTGCCATCTTTCCAGCTGCGTTTCAAACTAGTGATGTGATGCAGTGACCTCTTTTTATATTTATGTATTTTTCAGCAAGGGTAAGTAATTTAATGCACTGTAAAGTGTTTTATGAAATTGACTTTTGGAGACCCAATATGCAGTGGTTGTAAAATGGATTACCTTTTTTCTTCTGTGAATTTGTTTTATTATTTCTCTCACTGCAACGGTTCGACCGTGTGGGCATTTAAACAGCGATTTATTTTTACAAGGCCCCTGTCAGACCGCGGTATGCGTATTGAAATGGCAAAAAAAGGCCATAATTGGTTAATTATTTCTATGAGGCCGACTTGCATAACATCCACCGTTTGTAACCAACGTGCTATAATCCGAGGATATGAGTCGCAGTCTCATATGACCACAACACCATCAGACTTTCATTAAAATAAAAAATGCTGAGAATTACTAAAAGCATTTGGCCAACGCATTTTATTGTAAACATGTACTGAGCGCCATGTGGAAATTGTGTGGTCTTCTAAGCAGTGACATTTGCTCGAAACGCCACGCAAGAAGGGTGACGTTTGCATTCAGAGCGATGATGTTGATAAGCGAGGATTCGCAAAAGGGAGCGTTTGCGGTGTGCCTCCGTGGCCCTTTGGCTTCTTCGTCAAAGGGTGACAGCTGAGTGTTGACAGAGGGGCTCGCCTGGTGGCAGGAGTCCTGAGTGAGATGCTTTCAGGGATGTTTAGAAAGGGAAACATTGACGAGGCAAACGTGAAACGCGTCCAAGCATAACAGCAGCAAACGGGAGCCAAGCATAGCTATGGTGACTGATGTTGTGGGAGGCTGCCCTCTTTAAAAGACGGGTTTTGTGGAGTCGTCACCCGTGTCTATTAAAAGCATCCGATGAATGCGCCAAAGACCAGCCCAGAAATATTATACCCACTTGATTGGGTTGTATTAACTCCAATTGATTGGGTTGTGACATGACAATGTGTTGATGATGTGATGTCTCGCGGTGTGTTTTTGAGCCCCCGAAATAAGTCGATCTTTAATACCCTCTGATAAATTTTTGTTGCATAATGTCGTTGGGTAAGCCACGTAGTTTTACCAAGACAAACATGAATTGCGGGGTTGGTTTGTTTGTTTCGACGGGATGGACTTACATGTGGTTATCGCTGCATGTGGGCACATGTCTCGCATCCCAAGTTTTGTCAGCAATAGAAACACAAGTGGATGATACGAATATATACCCTCTAAAGCAACAATGCCAAAGTGTCTGTGCCTGTCAATCATACAATACGGTAAATGCTTTTTTACTAAAATTTATGTCAGTGGTTGTGGGGATTTTGAGTTCTATTTAAGATTTGTGATTGAATTCCTGTATCACCAGGTCAAAGTCCATTGACACCGGATATCTTTTTTCATGGAATATATATGAAAAAAAACCATGGATAAAGCAAAACATTTCAATTTAATTGCATAAAAATACTTACTGTGTTCACATGTAGGTATGTAATGATGCAGTGATCACAGTTTTACTTAATAATCGATTCTTACACCTACGATAATTGCATTGAATCATGTGTTTGAGGATCATTTATTGTCAATTAATTGACGTTCGATACAATGGATTAACGTGACCCCTACCACCACTGAGTAAATACGTTCACCACAGTAGTACAAAAAGAATCAGCTCTTGAATTGAATTGTATTACTTTACCACGAAAAGTGCCAATTGATCAAATTGCTTGGACAGCCAATCATTGCATACCCAGTGCATGAGTGTTTTTCATTATGATTAGGCTTGCGATTGCAGCTTCACTCGAGGTTATAAACTTAACTTTGAATTAACGGCTAAACTCTTATCAGATGTGACTGGATAGTACAGGGATCACAACACTCATCTGGCAATGCTGATATCCTGGGTTTGAATCTGAGCAGATGCCCAGGATTAAACCGGGTTCTTAAATATCGCAATTTGTTGGTTACCGTAGACTTAAAAAAAACCCGTTACATTTAAATTTGTTTTTTGTAAATTTTTTCCAAATTCCAGCTCAGAAACTTGAACATTTTAGTTTTTTGACATGCAAAAAATACTCTTTGCGGGTCATTAAACAATCTGTGCCCCTGGTGTGATAGATCTATTGGAGTGACTTCAGAAGCAGTTTTGTGAATTTTATCTTTCTGGGCCATTCTCTCACATCACAGGAAGAGTTTTGAATACGATTTCCTTCGTCTCATCTTATGGCATCAAAGAAAGCAAAACATTAGTTGTGACGTTAAACCCTACCTTCGACCTTACATCTGGCCATAACCGTGATGTTAACCTCTTGCCTCCCTTCGCCCGGCAGATGGACTGCTGGTGGTCGGCGTGCACTCGGCAAAGTTCCCGCACGAGAAGCTGACGGCCAGCGTGCGCGCGGCCGTCTTGCGCCACGCCATCGGCCACCCCGTGGCATGTGACGGGGAAGCCAGCCTCTGGCAGGACCTGAGCGTGTCGTGCTGGCCCACGCTTCTGGTGCTGGGCCCTCGGGCCAACCCGCTGCTGGCGATTGTCGGCGAGGGCCGAGCGGCCACACTCCACTCGTTTGTGTCGGCGGCGCTGCGCTACTACCGGTGAGCGCCGACTCAGCTGCTGGGCGGAAGAAAGGGGGGCGGCGTGCTGATCGCTGTGCGGGCAGTGCTGGGTAAGGTAGTTGCTGCCTACCGAGAGGGTAATTTGAGCATGTCTGATTGCCATCGATATGGTGGGGGGTGAGGGGGGGGGCGCTATTAGTGGATACTGTTTTCCGTGTCTGAGCTTGAAAATAAACTCGTGATATCCGCCCGCTTATAAACGCAAACAGGGTGAATCTTCTTCCACTTTCGTTTCTAAAGATGGTTCACAACACATTTCCTGCATCTTTGTGATGACACTTTTATGAGGTATTATTTGGACTGGCATTGTTACTGCCTTTTATGTAGTATGAGTTTCTATTGGCATTTGATTTAATTTTTGTTCAACTTTAAGAGTTTCTTTAGAATAGGGTTCAGATGTTTGTGTCAGGTCTTTATTGGGAGCAGTAAAGCTCTTTAGTTGGTGAACTTTTCAAAACAAACCTTGTCAGAGAACCAATTCTCATATACTCTTAGGTAAGTCCTTCAAAGCACGTAATATTATTTTCTTTAAATAATATTTACACTGCTTTATTCTCAATTGTTGTTAAATGTGTTGTGTTTACCATGTTTATTGTTCATTGCTGTATTGCATTGCACTGCGGGCCCAACAAGAGACTTTGGCTTTCAATACACTCTTATCTGGTTTAAACAGTGGTTTATTAAAAATGATGATGGTTGGTGTTTTTGTCCCTAGAGAAAAGGGTGAGCTGAATGCAAAGAGCGTCGGAGTGAAGCCGTACAAGGACTCCCTCCCGCCCTCCCTGCTGCTCTTCCCGGGGAAGGTGTGCGCGACGCGTGGCCTCGACGCCGATGGCGAGGAGAGGCTGGTCGTGGCGGACACGGCCCACCACACTGTCCTCGTGACGGACAGCAGTGGCCGAGTGCTGCACTGCGTTGGAGGTGAGGCTGTGAGCAAGGCAGGGGCTGATGAAGAGAGTTCTCTTCTGGATTTAGGTCAGCATGGCTTGTGTGTCCCTTTCATTGCCAGACTTGCGCTAATGGGTTGTGGGCACAAGCGTCATGTTTTACGAATGCCCAAGCTCGTTGAAGCCGGTTTGGTTCGGAGGGATTATCTGCATATCGAGACGGCTGTATTTATTACATCGGCCGCGTGCGGTTTTTGGCAAGAGTCGGGCAGTCGTAAGGCCCTACCATCGGGATTTAAAATGATCCTCACCAAAAAATGATTACATCATTTTCATTGACAGAATTATTTTCAAATGTTATCATGAAATCTTAAAGCATCGTTAGCAGTGACGGGTTTTTATAGCCATTTGAAATACTTGTGAAATCTGCAGAGGGCAGTGTCACACTACAATACCATTAAATGCTCATCAATAATTAAACTATGGCTTGGGGAAAAATACCTCTGGTATTTTAAAATATCCTGCGTGCTTTTTCTGCACACCCACATGTTGCGAACATTAACTAATGGCTTTTTAATGCGCTCCGTTCTTACTCACAAAAGATGGCTTTCTTTTTACCAAAACTTAAGTAAAAAAAAAAGAATGGCACAAAAAAGCGCCAGCATGCTCAATCGCTGAAACTGCGGCCAGAATCTTTGTTGGATTCGTCCCACTTCATGCCGCAATGTTCACGGCGCTTTGTCAGTCACACTTCTTTGCAGACCCAGTGCCACCGGCACAACAGGAAGCGCAGGCTTGAGGGATTATCAGAAATCTCGCGGTGTTCCTTTTCCACCACCGCACTGTACGCACCCGTTTGATTTCGGTCTCACGCCAAGGTACGGGGGGGTCCGTGTCTGTCGCCTAGCCCGTTGACAAAATCCGATCGCCGATGAACGCGTTTAAGCGTTGGTTCAGAGTTTATTTTTTATTTTTTCTCCTTCCGTGGGATCCCGGCGTTCCAGTTTTCCCCATGTCGGCGACGCCAGCGCTCTTCTTTATTTCCGATCCTGCCGCTTAAGGCCCTGCCCGCTTGGCCGTGTCTTAAAAAACTTTGGCGGCAACGATCCCTCTGTGCACAATAGCGCGCTGTGCAGTTAGTGGCCTCACACACCTGCGGTTCTTGATATGGCTGGCGTACCCGCAGTGCAGGTGCCGGGTATTTCCTTTGGAGTGGTGCAGTTTAGGCCGAAATAGCTTATGAAGTTTCCCCCCCTCCGCCCCCACTGTCCTTTCACTCTTTACCCATTGCAGCAGTTCTGTGGAAAAATAATGGTTAGGTTTTTTTTGGAGGACTTCGTATAAAATTATTGGAAGTGCACATTTAATTTTGCCGCTCGTTCAGCTGTGGAGGCAAGTTGTGAATGTGAGTCGTGGAAATGTAATGGAAGATGCAGCTCAAAAATATGCAGATGTGGGAGATATGGGTCTAACCAGTGTGTCCCATAGATTCGAAGCTTTCGTGACTGCAGGAATTACTCCTTGGTTCTTTCAGTAAAGTAATTAAATTTATTTCTAAGTGACTTTACGGAAATAACCAATGAGCAGTTTGTCCCATGTTTTAAGATGTGAATTTGAGTCTGCTTTAATGAGAAAACATTCAATTGAATCAGGTTCTAGTGACATCACTGAATTGATTTATTTTTAAGTTATATTCAATTGATGTCATAGTGATATATCTACTAGTGTACCATAATGATTTTCTTGGCTATATATATAAAAAAACACAATCTTATCAACAACACTTAAAAGTCATATCTGACAACTTGGGACACCCAGTCTAGGTATGTAGCTACAAGACAAAAGCTATTTGTTTTTTTTTACTGTCTCTCTTTCAAATGGGCGTTTTTACATCTCAAGCAGGGTCAATGCTTGAGATATTAAGTCCCAAACGACATGGAACCTAAGGTTGTACCTCGCTTATTCGGATGACCAGTCTTGGGTACAAGTGAACAAAAGGCACTGCAGTAGATTTATCATGTTAGAAAGATTACTGCTAAATATACTTGCATGTATATTTAGCAGAGTGTAAAAAAGAATATGGTGTAATGCAAAGTCTGAAGGGACATCTCTCTGTGATGACGGATTTTTGTTGAAGGTTTTGGCAGACCGGTGGGGGGCATTCCGGCATACAACATCAGAGCACTTATAAATAAATAGTTTATTCTTACCATGGACATGCAGCCATTGCGTTATGTATGCACCTTCACAATGAACGTAGCTGCATTTGTTATTGTTGCTACAAACCCCACAACACAAAGAGTGTTCGAATGCACTTTTCACATTTTTGTATGCGTTCCTTTTCCCACAGGAGCAATGCAGCTCGGAGTCAGTTTTCAGGATTTTAATTATGGAATTGAAAAAATCGCTCACTTTATTTTCCACTTGTGCTCAGTGATGACTTCATTTGTCTTGCACTTGCACTGAACCAAAATCTTAAATGGGTGTGAGAGCCTGTGTGCTATGTTTCCCGTCCGCTACCCCGCTTAATGATGCCTGGATTTACGTTACACTTGTCCTGATGCTACCATCACTGCGCTCCACCCACCTGGTCCCACCCCAGATCCCGAGCCGGGCTGTGTGGATGGGGAATTTTCAGAGGCTCGCTTCAGCTCGCCCCAGGGAGTTTGTGTACGGGGCCAGCACATCTTTGTGGCCGACACGAACAACCACCTCGTCCGGCTCGTAAGCCCCTCCCATGCGCATACATTTGTTATGAGCTACGTTTGGTGGCCGCGGTGGTGAGATGTTAACTACCTCACCTGGTCGTTGGTTCGATCCCGACCCTGATGCCTGTATTTTTGGAGTTTGCATGTCTCTCTCGCTGTGGTCATGTAGATTTTCTCCGGGTCCTCCAGTTTTTCCTTCCCATTTATAAACAGGCCAAAATCAGTCGTGCTGTGCTGATATGCTCTTACATCCACGCTCCCCGCCTTCACCAACACGCACTGACCATCGTGACGAAGGATAGTTTTATTTTTTTACCTACGTGACTTTACCGAATAGCACCAAAGAGTATGGATCCTTGCAGTCACGAAAGCTTCAAATCTAGAATTGATAGTCAAATAACCCCCACAACCCACACGGCGTGGAGGAGGCGCCTCATCCAGCAGTGGATTAACGGAAAGGCTGTACGTGTATTTACATAAATGAAACTTATGGATTTCTCTTTGTCGGAACTGTTTTGGTCACTGCATGCCCACGTCTCTCACGACAGGTGGATATGGCAGAGAAGAGAGTGAGTACACTCGTCGGCACGGGGTCGCAAGGCACGGACAAGGAGGGCGGCCTTCCTGCTCTAAAGCAGCCAATCAGCTCCCCCTGGGACCTGGTCCTTGGCAGCATTGCAGGTCTGTTCCATGCAGGCTCAGCAAAGCACACACTTCGACAATAATAATAATAGCTTTAATAATGCCATTCTTTTTAGTACGCAGTTATTTCCGTCCAGCCCAAAGTCAACATTTTTCCTTGATGATGAATAATGAATAAAGCAGTAAGTATATGACTTGAGTAAAGTAATTGACATTTAGAATAATATCAACCCTTCCTCATCTTAATTGAAGAATCATATATATATTTATTAGCCGCAACGTGCAGGGAATATAAATTACCAAACATAAGGACATGTTGTACGTTTCTGTCTCATGAGGTTAATATTTCATAACATCCAATATTGATTCTGTTCAAAACAGAGGAAACTGACTTGTTTGTTATTATTTTAATGAACGATGGGAACCAAGGAAAATTGGACATGCTCTCTTCGCATGATGTCCGCCAAAGTAATCTTCATTTTCTTTGGTTCTTTCGGTAAAGTCACGTAGAATGAGAATAAAATAATAAAATAAAACAATAAAATTCTCACGAAGTTTCGGCCACAACACAAGTAGCCGTTTGCATGTTTTTTTCATTTGCTCACCTGATCTCTGAGTGACCTTCCCGACACAGGCACCAGCTTTGTCCGAGCACATCAAATTTTGGCCGTCTTGCGACATCACATGTGTTTTGTGCACTTATCAGATTGTGAGATCAATCTTGATTTGAAATCAAGTCCAGCCACAAATATTAAGATTGCTTATTAAAATGCATCTTTTGTGAAGGAACTTTGACCATGGGACATGACTGAAGTTTTCAAATTAATGATTAAGGAGCTGCGTTGGCAGTACAAATAATAAAAACAAAATGACATCATTATTCCTGCTTTGTAACATATATATCACAGGCTAACATTTAAGCAATGGCACCATTTTACAACAGAGAGCGAGATCGAAATGTATAGTTTAGTAATAGTTATACAGCGCAGTGTAAAGTGCCATATCAAATTTTAAGTCAGTCTTTCTGCACTATCCACTGAGCAAGAAGTTATTAACCCAAAATGTGAGCCCTCTGTATTTTATACTGCAGTGCTAGTGATTCATTTAATGAGTTTTATTGTCAAATGAGAGAAGGATCTCCCTCTAGATTGAGCAGAAACTCTTACTTCACTTCCCTTCGCCTGGATTTGAATGAGGCTTCCAAAAAAGTGCTGGCTCAGGACCCAATGGCATTGCATGCGCCCTCTCAACAATTCAGAAATCTGCCCAGGGTACTTTACTTCAAAAATAAACAAAACGTTTGTGAAAGACGCCTGCACTTTCGCTAATTTATGAAGGCTTTAAGCAGGGCCTCCGTAATTCCAGAAAGGTCACAGCTTTATTGGTTTAATGTTCTCATTAAATAATGGGTGAAATCTTCCACCTGTTCTTATGCGTATGGGTATATTTATTTCGTGGCCCAAAATGCTTCTTAGCCCTGACTAAAAGGCAACGCTTAAAATGTATGGAAATCCGCGATATCGAATTTATTCATTACAAAGTTACACATTTCGAACTGCACCTACAAATGAAGGTAGTTGAGCGATTGTTTTTGTTGTTGCCACGTGTCCATACACAGTTGATTGGCTTAGTCGCAGCACTGGCTGCACCAGTATAGAGGCTGCGTAGCCGCCTTGTGCTGCCTGTTATGAAGGCAACATGTGGCAGCATTCCTCGTTTCACGATTGCCCCGCGCCGCTGATGCTGCGGCCTTTTTTTTTCCCCGCCCTCTTCTTTTTGTTTGACCTCCACTGGAAGTATTACGTATTTATTTATTTCTAGCTGCTTGCAGCACCGTGCACTCCCGTCGTCGCCTTACAATTAAAACAAAACAATGCAGTGCGCAAACGTCCCAAGAAAATCCCCGCTGGTAGATATGTGAGTAGAAGAACAACCTGAACTCTTTGTATTTTGGAGTTGCTGTAAATTGATGTGTTAACAATGCCCCAGTTTCAGTAACCCCCAGCCTCTGTTTTGTGGGCGAAGCTGTTCTGGCTTTGGTTTAAGAAATTTCCAGTACCACTGCGCGTTTGTGTGCGGGTCTTGCCTGTAATCTGATGTTATTCCTGGGACTATTTTGGGCGCCCTATTGCTTGTTATTTTGTAATGTTATTCGTTTTTGCCGTCATTTGATTTTTTTTGTTTATTAATGGACTTACTGTTCGAGATTTTAAAGGCGTTTCAACGCAATGTTTTAATAAAATGTTGCCAAATAAACCGTATATTCAGTCTTCGATTATTTGTCACCATAAAAAATTGAATTCCTCACTTAACAGTATTATTCAAAAATGTAAAGTGACAGATACGGCTTATGCTTATTAAACTGTAGCAAACACGATTTAAATTGTTTATATTAACGACATTCAACTGATTTATTTATTTACACAATGTGTCTCTTCCTGCAAATAGGCAGCCAGACATTGAAATAATATACCTATCTTCCATACACAGATATTTTAAGCTAATTCATAAAATAAACTTAACAAAAGCAAGCAGTTTAAAAATCTACCACAATAGCTGTACAAGTATGTGCACTGATGTTCACTTGCATTATGTTTATGTAATTCCGCTGCTTGCATGAATCCAAAAACTTATTTTCAGACTTTTTACTTTCAGCAATAGACCAAATACCACAAGTAAACATCAGCAGAAACCCCTTAATCATCATTAACATTTTAAATGCTGTCAAGGACAATGGATGGCTTAATTAACGCTGTAGGTGGGACAATGTGGTGTTGACGTTGCCTCGGTCACGAAATCTTCATGTTCATTCTGGCATTCATCCCAAGTGCATCGGTTCCTCCTTGTCCTCACTGTCCACTCTTCTTTCAGGTCTACTTCATTCGCCTCCGTGTCCTTCCTGCTGGTATCCACCCATAGCTGCTTAAGTCTCTTTCACGCTTCCCTTTGTCCTGCCCCTTCGTTGCAACGTGCTCCTCCGTTCTACGTGTGTATGAATGTCTGTTGAACGTCTTTCGCACTGTACGTTGCCAACCACGCTAATTGGAGGTGCGTTCTACATGGCCAAACCTCCGCCTTAACCTTTTTACGCTCCTAATGTTGGGCACAGATGGGGAATGTTATTTGTCGCTCCGTCCTTTAGCATGTTGTTTTCATTGAATGCTGGCAAATGGTAATGTGTTCTAGCTTGAGGGAAAAGTGTGTGGTTTTTTTTAAGTGGCCAAAAATGTAAATTAGTTGTGCAATTTCTCAATCCTAATTACCCCTCCAACAAACTGTCATTAGCGTTGAGGATAAACAACTATTTTAAACAATAAAATGAGTTAAATGTTTTACTTTCGTAACTTATTTCACTAGTTTAAAATTCCTGAAATCTTGTTGGCTTTTACGTTTTTTAAACTTGTGCTTACACGTAAAAAATAATGTTAATGATGTATCAGTAACGGATTGTTTACCTCCCTGATCAGTAAAGAGCCCATTGCAGAAAACGAAACTTATTTTTCTATGCTAATAATTTCAATGACTGTTGCAAATTGATAACAAACTCTACATACATGTGTTGTATGTAATGGGTTCACATCACCCGTGAGACACTATGGGCCACTACCGTTCCCCGCAGTGTTACATAATAGATTCCCGAGTCGAATCCTTGCACCCCCATATACTTTCCGCGTCTCCTGCACTCATGACTGCCCCGCAGATGGTGAACCCGACAGTGTCCTGTTCATTGCCATGGCTGGGACACACCAGATCTGGGCATACTTCCTCTCAGACGGAAAACTTCCCCGCAGTAGGTAAGCGTGGCCACAATGCTTTTGTTAGAATCCTTAAGAAATGGGGCAGATGCCTAAGCTCAAACTGCGTAACTCTCCTGCTATGATGGAAATAGCTACCTCTATTTAAGCGCATGGGATTTCAACTTTTTTTCTCCTCCTCACTTCACTGAGTCCAACATTGACTGCATACATACTATCAAGCAGAGTCTCGAAAACACCAAAAAACCATCATGTTTACATAAGGCTTTTGTGGACTATGAAAATTGCATTTTATTCTGTGGAAACTGACACAGTTATTAAAGCATGCACAAACGAATGTGTTGATTAAAAACAACAATAGTTAAAGCTTTCGTGACTGCAGGGATTCATATTCTTGGTTCTTTCGGTAAAGTCACGTAGAAGGGAAACAATAAAAAATATAATAAAAAAAAGAAAAAATATGAAACGATAAAATGTATTGTTTATTAAAGTTATTAACATTTTATTGTTTTAGATTTTTTGGAAAAAAGTGGCAGTTTTTTTTTCTTGCTGTGGTTTTCACACCTAATGATGATTGCTTGTGTTGCAGTCGAAACGTCGTAATAATTTTATTGTTTTATATTTTTATTATTTTATTGTTTCCCTTCTACGTGACTTTACCGAAAGAACCAAGAATATGAATCTCTGCAGTCACGAAAGCTTTAAATCAAAACATAGATGTATCGAACATGCATAAAGATAGGACAGCTACACTGAGACTGCATGAATAAATTAACAAAATACAAATCACAAGAGTATTCAGCTATTCACAGCACTTTTCGAAGATATTTTCCCAAACTCGGAGTGGAAAAATTAAAACGTAAAATATTAACCATCTCAGCTTTTCTGATTACACGTTCATGATTACAACCTATGGAAATGAACTGCAGGAAATTATTGATAATGGAATGGCAAGTCACAGGAGGGAACATGCCAAATAGGATCACCACTGTGGAGATGGAGCATTAAAATTAGCCCAAGTGAAGGAGCGAGATGGATCGTGGCAATGCAAGGCCATTAGGAATGGCACGACTTGGGGTGGTGTGAACAGATCACGATGCTTATGACAAATGCAACCATCTCAAGACTCTGTACAAAACAGTAGCATGCACATCGCGGGGCACACGGAGGTGAATATATTTAACCTATTACTATATTTATTTACTATATTTATTGTTGTAAGAGAAGAGAGTCATTGGTGGAGGAGAAGGAACAGAGGGCGGGGAGTCAGAAGCACGGATGGCCAGGGTGAAAGAGTTCCAAAGAATCAAGGGTGCAGCATAGGAAAAGGAACGACCTCGCCGCTGAGTGGAGATGAGTTGGGGCCTTTAATCAAAAGATATATGAATCAAAGTTTGTTTTCAACAATTTGCAAATAAATACATATAAATATTAAGACATAATCTACGATTGTTTTATCCACCTTCATGAAGGCAGATTGATTTTTTTTTGTATTATTAAACGTATCCATGCCTAGGTAAAAAAAAAAAACCTCTGCCATGTTGGAATGCTTTACCAGTCCAGGCCATCACAGTGCCGTTGGGAGTGCAACAGAGAAACTATTCAACAGGGGATGATTCTTCAGATCTCCGAGTTGCAGATCTACATGTGACTATATTTCCCCAGCGTCACAGCCCAATGCTTAGATACATTGCAAAAATGTACACTCCTTAAATGTCTGGTAGGCATAAGATTTTACGTTTGCGTGTTTTCATTCTTTTTCGAAGCAGGTGGCCTAATGCTGTATATAAAAAAAAAATAAAGCGTATTTGGTGTCTGTGTGGCCTGTAATGTCGTTGCAGCCTTTTTGTAGTGAAGGGCCAACTGCCCTGTATGCCTAAATAATCTATCACGATCACCGCCGCCACGCTGGGAATGCAGTTTATTATGCGTGTGGTCCCCTTGAGATTTTAAACAGCAAACACCTGCATGGTTAAGCTACGTTAACACATGGCTAGACCATACTGCTTGTTTCTCTACAATTTGTTGTGGTCCACATTGTTGTGGCTGCTTACAGCTTTTAATAATAATAATAATGTACAGCCTTTTGTTGATTCACAAAGGGATGAGGGCCTCTCCCCCGCACTGTCGGTTGAAAGTGTTGTGGCCATATTTCATCACGCTGGTCAGTGCAGGTTGGTGACGGGGGGACCCAAGAATCGGTCAGATATAAATCGCCACTGATGTGAGTCGTGGCTGCTAGTCGAACTCTGGTTGACAGTGAAGTGTACTAACCACTCCACCGACCGCGCCACCCCCACAGCTGTTTCGAGACAACTTAATCACTGCTGCTTGCAAAGAGCGTTCTAAAAATGTCAGAGTTTGCACAAACTGCACAGCCATCCAAATGTGATGCGTTTTGGGACTCTTATTCTTGCCACGGCTCAAGTCTTATGTTGGTTTTCTTTTAAACTTCTTGCCCACAAAGGGTGGCCACCACTCATATGTTCTTGAGCGCGTACCTATTACCATGTGCGCTAAAACCCCAGCGGGAATCGCATGAGTGGCCGTTCACCTAGATCGATTATCTGTGCACCACCGCTGTGTGTTTGTGCTTCAGACTTTGTGGCGCGAAGGGAGAACGCGCTTGATTCATTTGGCCAGCTTCTCTCGCATCCATGTGATACCGTTTGCATTTTCCTATCCCATGGGTCACTCCACTTTGGCTCGTTGAAAGCATGGCTGCTGTGCCCAGCATGACTTCTCCCTTGTTGTTTGTCGCTAAGTTTTAGTTTGCGAGATATTTTTTTATGAGGCGATCAAATCAATTTGTTAATGTGTCACTTCACAGTGACACATTAATTCATAGTTTACATCGTACGTGTTATATTCTTGGTTCTTTCGGTAAAGTCACGTAGAAGGGAAACAATATTATTTTATTGTTTTTCGGTAAAGTCACGTAGAAGGGAAACAATATTATTTTATTGTTTCTCTTCTACGTGACTTTACCGAAAGAACCAAGAATATGATTCCCTGCAGTCACGAAAGCTTTAAATCAAAATCGTACGTGTTAATTATGGCAGCCTTAATGGGTACCCACTAACTGCTCCTGTTTGTATGGCTATAATTGGGTGGGAGCGGGTGAGCGGGGAGCTTCGTGTGTGTCATCTGATTGTATTTGTGTGTTTTGGCATCGCCATCGTTCATTGGCATTTTCCCGTTCCGCAGCCAGGAGCACAAAGCAGGAACTTGCGTGCGATTGGCTGGAAGTGGCAACGAGGAGAACCGGAACAACTCATACCCACACAAGGCCAGTTTCGCACAGCCTTCGGGGCTCTCGTTCGCCCCTGAGGCTGGCGGTGGCTGCCTCTACGTGGCGGACAGCGAGAGTAGCACTGTGCGGGCCGTGTCTCTCCGCGATGGAGCTGTCAAGGCGCTCGTCGGAGGCGAGAGGGACCCCATGGTAACTGCGCGCTCCACAGATGAGTTTTCGATTCCCCACGAGACCATTCGTGCGCTTCGTATTCGTGCCGTTCTTCTAGCACAGGGGTCGGCAAACCAAAATAATGAGGAGACTGTGTTTTCGAATTCGGTCAAAGAACTCAAGATTTCAGGAGCCGCAATGCAATGTGGATACGAGACGGTGGGTCCTTAATAAATAACGTCACGAAGCAGTCCTTAAAGAGCCGCAGGTTGCCAAGCCCTGGTCTAGCAGATACTGTCTGCCAGTAGGGGGTGATGTTGACGTGGTTTTTCAACAAAAAGGTAACTTGTGGGTAACGTTTACATTTTGGACCATATTGCCGGCACACATGGCCTACTGTTTTTAGAATAACAGCACGGGATTTTGACCATCTGCTGTGAAGCGCACTGCATGTATTTATTGAACCACGATCCTCTGAAACAGTTGGTAAGTGCGCTACCACTCGGCCTTGCGAAAGATGCCCATGCAGATGCACTCATGTTTGAAGTCTGAGTTGATCCAATTATGTTACACGGGACTAAATTTCAGCCAGGACTGTCCGGGTGAGTTTACATAAAATATTTTCATGCTCGGCACACCGCATCCAGTTTGGGTTTTGCTATGGCTGTGGCCACTAGTCACGTTCCTACTCCAGTCTACTATTGAGATGGAAAATATTCAGTGAGAAATTAAGCTTGCTTCCAAATACGTTATTGATGATGGCAATTGTTGACTGCGTGGGACTTTGCATAATTTATTAATTTCCATGCCTGTGTTGGCCAGATGCCTTACCTACCACATGGGATGATTATACATTCAGTACATCACCGTTATTTTTAACTAAGCGAGGGCCCATTGAGGCTCAAGTCTCTTAAGCAAGGGAGATCTCGGATATATACAAAGTAAAGTATAGTCAAAACAATATTCAGTCTAGAAAAAAAACTAACACAAAAATAATAATCCATATGCGGTAAAGCATGTTTCTCAACAATATATATAAAAAAATGTTTACTCTTACTTTTCATACAAATAAAGTACACTGTGTCAGTGGTGTAATTAAACTACAGCCCCCTAAGCCCATAGTCTCCATAGGACAAGTTGGTTATTAATACCGTCGGGGTAGTTTATATACATAAAGCAGCTTCCTATTTTATGTTTGTTTGTGATTTTACATAGATAAAGGGGAAAAAAACACGATTTTTTTTGCTCCTAGCTACTAAAAATCCAACTTTATTCAACATCACATTATGGTGGCAATTTAATTGGCTGTATTTTAGTTTTTTGCTTTGCATCTGTAATGTTTCATCAAGGCCTTCGATATGCGAATGATTTTGTCCTATTTTCAATGAAAACTTTAAATTACAGACCCGTTTCCTCTGCAAATCCTGGACATTTGCACAATTGCCCAAAGGAGGCAGTCTTAAAAAATGACACGATCCATGATTGCCTGTCTGGACATTGATGTCTAGCCTGATTGTTTCCGGGAAAATTTGACTCCAGGTGGGTGAAAGAATTAGCGGCCAGTAATAAGAGTGACACTGAGTTGGTGATGCTGCAAGCATTGGCCTGGGCTGGCTGCCAATCCCTAGATACCTGCAATCACGGGGGTTTGTGGCCAGCCGTGGGCTGTGTTAGGGGACAACAGGACTGAGTAGCTAACAAATAGAGATTGGTTAAATTGGACAGAGCTGCAAGTACATTTTAAACAGGCCCAGGGATAATGGTGTATATCAATGCGCCCTTGTGCATTAGCGGGACCCTGCTCAGTAGTTCGTCGTGAGCCAATGCATGAATGTGCCCAGTACTTAGCGATTTTTTTCTCAGTTTTTTTTGTTGTTCCCCCAAGCAATCCTGCCGTGCGAGCGCTTAAATGTTTAGAATTGGAGCTTGTCTGAAAACAAACATGGGTGCTTTAGCATGTGCTTAATCGTTTTGTGTTTTTTTTTTACCCTTCATATGTAATAGAATGCACGTGATTAGGATTGCAATTGAATTAGTTTGTATCATTATTTGTGCCTTTATGGGACATGTCAAATGTTTTCTATAATAGAGGTTTTTTGGGTTAGATCGTGTAAATATATAAATGTGTCGTTAAAATCCGCCACCACCCGACACAGCCAAACTAGTAAGGGTTGTCACGTAAACGGAACATGCCAATTCGTAAAAAAAACAACACACATTTTGTCAATAAATGGACTATACAAATGTAGGTATCTATATAACAAAAAAAACATTTTGTTACATCATCATCAGTCATAAACTTTGGACAACGAATGCTTTTGATAGCTTGGGTTGACTTAAACCTTTCTGGCCAGCAGGAAAATGTAGGCTGAATGTCCTTTTAAATGTGGTGATTCATGCCTCCTAGTGCTGTAAGTATCATGGGCAATGTCTGTCTTTACCGCTTAAGTTTTTTTGTTTGTTAAGAAGACAAATAAACTTGAGAAGAGTTTTAGCGTTCAGCAGCCGTTTCCATGATGTACTCGAACTAAAGTTAACAGGACATGTGATAGAAAACGAATAAACGTTTGCCAGTTTGCATTTTCAAGTCTGCTCATGTTGCAGTTAATTGCTAAAAATGTAGCCTCAACAGATTATTTATTGAGAAAAATACGAGCATTTACTTTAAAATGTAAAAATAAATCAGTTGCACTGTATGGTGACGTTTGCAAAACTTCCTATCTTCATCTGCTGGATGAGCTCGCTGCCTTTCGTGCTAAGCCACGTTCAATTTTTAACATTCAACCGTGAAGTTGTATGGCCAATTTTTCATAGTAAAGTGTAGTTGAACTCTACAAGATGTTTGCCACGTGAAGAAATCAAAATTGTATTATTATTATTTTCCCCCAAGTTTATTCAAATTGTTCTGGCAGTATGACGACGTGAGTATACAGGATCCATTCCGAATTCTCGCAGAGCGGTACAACCTCCCCTGTGTTAGACAACTGCCTGGGGATGGAGATCTCACGTAACTACTTCTAAGATCACTCCAAGTGACGTATTAAATTCTCACAAATGAAGTACTGCACTTTGCCACATGCGCTGCTATAGAGAAATGTTAGTGGAATGGCACTCAAACCAGGTATATTTCAAATCTCTGAGCTGGCATTGAGACATTGCATAACAAAATCTAATTTAATGTGAGAATTTGTGCAGCCATCAACAATTGGCCTAAGACCATCATCTCACTACACTTGAGAACCTGGTTTAATCATGGGCGGCTAAAACCTGGATTTGAACTGAGGCTCTCAGTGCTGGCGGTTCAATTCCCTGAACCCTGAGTCACCCAGAACATTTCAATATTTATTTTATATTTTTATTATTTTATTGTTTCCCTTCTACGTGACTTTACCGAAAGAACCAAGAATATTTATTTGCCTGTTCACTTTTAGCGTGAGGGAGGCCATCTTTGTAAGGATATATTTCTCAGAAGTGTATGCTTCTGCTGATGTAATCCCTGAGCTGTCTCGGGGGGACCATCGTACTAAGGTCGATGTTGCACTTGTGGATTTCTTACCCGCTGTGCAAGAGCCTGGTGGACTGGTTGCGTAGTCCTTAGCGCACTGCGCTGAACCCCGGTGACTCAAGTTCGATTCCTGGCTACGGCTAACAGCAGTGGCCCTGTGAAATATGCACTGATCCTGTCCTGCCCCCCCAACCCATCGCTTCACCAACTTCCAATGACCAGCATGGTTAAGTATGGTCAAACAATCCCTATGACTGACGTGATATGGGGAGGACTTCTACAACAGTGGATTGAAAAGTGCTGTAAAAGCCACCTGTATAAAAAGTTTATACGTTTTATGCATGGGTTTAAAAAAAATAATTATTGCACAGCCGTGGAAAGATTAATGCTGTGGTTATGGGTACTATGACAGCAAGGGGTAAATGTAAAATACAGATGTTGCTAATGGTTATATAAAATGGTTTCATCACAAGTAATGGAGGGACATGGTAAAAAATTGCTTTCTAAAACCGGAGTCAGTCATGCAATAAAGCCCTGCAACACCCCTCTCTCTCCCTCCCACCCATACATATTCATAGCAATGAAAAATGAAATGTTCTTCGTCAGGCTCTGTGTTTTGGGTCAATTCAACCTTCGGTGTGCATCTGGATGTGATGCCCAATTGTTTCTGGCGGCAGCATAACAAATGATGAATACGTAACGCTTATTATCAAGCCTTATGTCTGGCAATACGGGTTGTGAATGATAATGTGATTCTTTTCATGATTTTGTTGAAAAAAAAATTGGAGTAAATAGGCAGTATTCATTGCACGAAGAAATAACGTTGGTAATATTGTTTTTGTTATTGCAGTGCATTCGTATTTTCTGCAGTTCTCAATTACTCTTCATTATTAACCTGAAAACAAATATTGTACATCTTCTTCCAGCGTGTGCATGATTAAACAGTCTTAACCGATCATATAAATGTGAAGCAAAATGAAATACTAGTAAGCTTTTCGGAACCCTATATTTAAAAAATAAGTTTTATATTCTTTTAACATATCTTGTCTTTAAATTATTTTGGCTGAACAGGAATGGAAGCGCAAACGGAGATGCATTTAAATTTAAGTACGTGAACAGTTTCAGAATAAGGTCATACAGTAATTTAAACTGAAATTTTTAATATTTGATTTTGAACGTTGGCTCTATGTATCCGTTATGTTATTTTTAGCCAAGACAAAGATCCCCTAAAGCCTTAACAGACTCTTCGGGCAAGTCCTGTTAGCGAGTACCTATGAAGGTCAGCACGGCACACAAGGGGGTGGGTGGCAAGCACCATGCCAGGCCATCGTTGTTTCCTGAGTGGCAATGTTTACACATCGCACAAGCTACTTATATGAGACTGGGTCAACGAAGACGATACCCAGAGCTGGTGTTGGCCGTGCCTGAGAATCGATCTCGGGTTGGCAGCTTCGCAGCGCAAGCGCGTTAACCACCACGCAACCGCTCCACGTGTGCACAAGTTGCGCAACAATTTCCTTTGATGACCTCGATGGTGCATCGATTGAGCGACCGTCTTTCTCTGTGATGGGGGGGGGGGGGAAACAGAACCTGTTTGCGTTTGGAGACGTGGATGCGAAGGGCGTGGACGCCAAACTGCAGCACCCGCTGGGCGTGGCGTGGCACCCGACGCATCGCCTGCTCTACGTCGCCGACTCCTACAACCACAAGGTGAGGCGTCGCACGGTCCCGCACCCTCTGCCTTCCAGCGTCCTCGGCGGTTTCCATCAAACGTGTTGGAAGGATGAGAAAAGCCCTAAAGACAAAGCTGTGTACATTACGGGCCAGATGGCAAGGCTGTCCCCACGTCGTGGCTCATTTAAGACCATCAGAGAGTGAGCCCCCCCCCCGGGGCACTGGGGTGTTAATTTCTCAGTGATTGGAAGAGCGGCTGGTGAATATTAATATTTATTTATTGAGTTACTTTGATCCATTAATGCTTTTTACGCTGGGTTTCGAATGCTATTTTTCAATGGCCACTGCGAACCAGGCTGTGTCGACCTAGGAATTGCCCATATGACTTACAGGATCAGCGCTAAGGCCATGGGCCTGTGTCCGCATATTCTGTGGGTTTGGCCCCATTTGCTATGCCCTTCCCTACCACTTCCCTCTCTCTACCCACTGTGAGCGGGTGTGGAGGGTGAGGAATCGATGTACATAGAAAAAAAAAGACCTTAGTAATAATTACAAGCAATTTTAAGGCAGGCTTTGGTTGCGATAAAGTAGGCGACTATAAGCTATAATATATCCATTTTGTAAATTTCCCGCTGTGTTATTCACACAAAACATGGTCCTGAAGTTGAATTAAGTGAGGGATGTCGCTGGCCTCTCATATCAGGACTTGTTCTGAGGTCAGCCCAGGTAAAAGCTCAGGTTGCCGTAGGAACTTAAACAAGCCCTCTTTGCATGCACACGGTAAATAAAGTTATTTCCACTTGAGTGGTTTTGCAAGATTTGGCAAAATTGGTGATTTTAAAATGTAAAGAAAATTGAATTTCAAACTAACATGAACCAATTCAAAAACTGCTAACTTAATATTGTCACACTAATCCTCCCACTGTCATCCCACTGAAGTGCCCAACGGGGTAGTCTCAATACAACTCAATTTAGTGGGAAAGCAGTAATGTGTTTGGAATGCAGGGGAGGCAGGAGAAAGTGTTATTTTACACTGAGACCCAACCCTGACTGTGGCAGAAAGTTTAAATTTGAGTTTCTGAACTGCTGTTGTTGTGGCACTGTGGGAATGAGTTACACATGGCAAAGGTTTGTAATCATTACTGTGCAAGTGTCCTCCAAACCTGTTAATGTTGTGATTTAAGAACAACTGTAAACGTGCTTTTACAGCTTATAAATTGCACTGTAGGTCTTAATTTTTACGCACTGCTTGAATGCAAGCTACCATTTTACACAAGTCCTTCCGTAAAGAAGTGCAATAAAAATGAACTTTGTTGAGGCCAACACTGTGGTAGGTGAGGAGATAAAATTAACCTTGGGCCCCAGCCCACTTGTATGAACAAAAATAATTTTCGAAAGTAGACACTAAACCCAGAGACTCTCATATTGGTTGGGCCATGCCCATGTGAGGTAAGATTTACGCTTAGCGGTTTGCAGAGGCCTGTGAGCCGGACCACCCCGTGGCGCTGTCTAAACTTTTTTTTTTAATCTCAAAGCTGCGCCGTTTTGGCTCAGAGATTTTCACACGAGAGGCCGCACCACTCGTCGGGTTTGACGCGCGTAATAGGATAACGCGGTGTGGGGGTAAAGCCCCCTGGGATGTGGTGGGCCATTCGTGTGCCTTGCGGCACTTGCCTCCTACGCGAGGTTTGCGGTGGATGCGAGCCACAGCCGGACGCTTCGCCAGGGGCGCCGGCGGTTGAGTAGAGGGCCCTGCTGCATGAGAGTGCACCACTTAGGGAGAACGTAAGCTGCTAAGAGGAGGGAAATGTCAGACATCTTGCCGAACAATGCACGCTTGGTTCGGCCCGATGGAAAAAAAAAACAGCGGAGAGCCAAACGTGTAGTTGTTGCAGTCTCACCGTAGATGTAAAATAGGCATTTAATTATTCACTTTCACCCACCTCCATGCCAGTGATTGGATGAAGTTTTGCGATTTTGATAATTGTTTTTTTTTACCCTTTTATCTGGCAACAAAACTGACACCTTTTTTTTACAAGGAGTCATGTTTACATTGACCACAATACCTACGGTCGGAACGCAAACAAAAAACAACAACTCTGATAATGTATGTGGCACTGTCCTTGAAATTGATTGGTCCACACCCGAGACAGCTTTCTTTAGAGCCTTGTCTCACATGGTGTTGGACCAGAAGACGCCAAAAGGCGCACAACTCAAATGATGGTGCATTGCCTTTGAGTTGTGCGCCTTTTGGCGTCTTCTGGTCCAACACCATGTGAGACGAGGCTCTAAAGAAAGCTGTCTCGGGTGTGGACCAATCAATTTCAAGGACAGTGCATACAGAGTTGTTTTTTGTTTGCGTTCCGACCGCAGGTATTGTGGTCAATGTAAACTTGTAAAAAAAAGTGTCAGTTTTGTTGCCAGATAAAAGGGTAAAAAACCAATGATCATATTTTGTTACTGGCAAATGTTTTGCGATTTTGTTCACGATTCGTTTAAGTATTTTTTTTATTTTTTTTTACCATCTCGTTTGTTCCGTTATCCTGAATGTTTAATGAGTTTGTACTTCGCATAAAATGCGTACAAATCATAGTAAATTGATTCTCACACCGTTCGGTGCGTGTTTAGTTAACCAAAAAAAACCCGGTGAATTGATGCGTCGTTACTTGTTCAATGTCACAGCTTGAAAACCACAGTGCTTTAGTGACTCTTTGCTATATACAGAGCCCTAGGATAAACTGGGTGTGTGGAGCAATGCATATTTGGTTGGTTAATATATGGTCATAGACTCAAGAGATCGTGGGATTCATTGATAGACCTAATGAGTGCTGACACTTATCTGATTTTGTATTAATACCTTTTATAGTCTCTTCATCAACTCTACGGTGATTGTAGGGATCCTCTGCTGAGGTTTATGCAACCTAAACGAATGTTCTCTGTTTATTGTGTTTGCTGATGAACTCAATTGTACCCGCACCCCCTCCCCCATTCTTGTTTCTCATTTCTTATTGTTTTTCGAGCATGTGCGATTAATTTGGCTTTGTTATCGTTGTAATTTTAAACATGTGGCTTTATAAATGAACTCATTGATGCCATGTGTTAACAGAAAGTCTGCTCGGGATGTTCTCACCTATACAACTCAACAACACAAAATACATTTTGTGGCTACCATGCAAACCCTTTCTTCGGATCTGCGCTACTTTTGGAACACTCGCTATGTAGAGGTTACTCGCTTTTGAGTTGAGATGAACAATGTATACCCCTCCACGACCTGATGTTTTTACATCTCGGAAGCTAAATAGTGTTTTAGAGCCTGGTTAGTACTTGGTGTTGTAGGCTTGAACTGCTGCGTGGCGAGGAGATGACATTGTTGCGATGGGTTTAATCTATCTGTGCGGAACTTTTGTGTGTTAATCCCTCATATGTTTGGTTTCTCCGGGTTCTCGAATTTCCTCCAATGTGTCAAACACTAATTAATTTAATTGTCCAAGTCTCCTAATGCAGAATCCACCTGAAATGGAGTGTTGAGACTCCTCAGTGAGCCTTTCTGGTTAAAGAAAATATATCATTTTATTGCCTATTACCAAATCACCCAGAACGCACCCAAATTTATTAGATCTTGGAAGTTATGCGGAGTTGAGCCAGCTTAGATGGGCAGGCACCAGATGGCAGTGCAGCAAAAGCCATCGTTGTACTGTACTTCTGTGCTCCCACGTCTACGCTCTCCGCCTTCACCAACCCGCGCTCACCAGCGTTGTGAAGTGTGAACCAACAACCTCGCAAACTCCGCACGGCATGGGGAAGGCCCTCGCTTGGCAGTGCGTGCCAATCCTTTTGTTATTGCAATTTGTTTTTGTCGTCGTCTTGTTCCTCATTCACCTCTGTGGAGATTAAAGCCGTGGACCCCAGCACAAGGGCGTGCGTGACCCTGGTGGGGTCGGGACGATCCCCGGACGGCGGCCCCTCGGCCGCCCCGCTGGGACGCGACACGCTGGCCGAGCCGGGCGGCCTGTGCGTGGGCGACGGCGGGAAGGTGCTGTACGTCGCCGACACCAACAACCACCGCGTGTGCGTGGTGGACCTGGATACGAGCGCCGTGTCCACGGTGAGCCACCGTCGAGTGTCCGCGTCGCCCAGCGTGGCGTTGGCCGTCGAGGGGGGGTGGGAGCTGTGCTGTGGAACTTGGCCACGCTGGGGCACAGAGGTTGTAGGGGGCGCCGGGCTACAGTGAGGGAAAAAAGTATTTGATCCCCTGCTGATTTTGTACGTTTGCCCACTGACAAAGAAATGATCAGTCTATAATTTTAATGGTAGGTTTATTTGAACAGTGAGAGACAGAATAACAGCAAAAAAATCCAGAAAAACGCATGTCAAAATGTTATAAATTGATTTGCATTTTAATGAGGGAAATAAGTATTCGACCCCTCTGCAAAACATGACTTAGTACTTGGTGGCAAAACCCTTGTTGGCAATCACAGAGGTCAGACGTTTTTTGTAGTTGGCCACCAGGTTTGCACACATCTCAGGAGGGATTTTGTCCCATTCCTCTTTGCAGATCTTCTCCAAGTCATTAAGGTTTCGAGGCTGACGTTTGGCAACTCGAACCTTCAGTTCCCTCCACAGATTTTCTATGGGATTAAGGTCTGGAGACTGGCTAGGCCACTCCAGGACCTTAATGTGCTTCTTCTTGAGCCACTCCTTTGTTGCCTTGGCCGTGTGTTTTGGGTACATGGCCCCATCCATCGTCCCTTTGATGCGGTGAAGTTGTCCTGTCCCCTTAGCAGAAAAACACCCCCAAAGCATAATGTTTCCACCTCCATGTTTGACGGTGGAGATGGTGTTCTTGGGGTCATAGGCAGCATTCCTCCTCCTCCAAACACGGCGAGTTGATTTGATGCCAAAGAGCTCCATTTTGGTCTCATCTGACCACAACACTTTCACCCAGTTGTCCTCTGAATCATTCAGATGTTCATTGGCAAACTTCAGAGGGCATGTATATGTGCTTTCTTGAGCAGGGGGACCTTGCGGGCGCTGCAGGATTTCAGTCCTTCACGGCGTAGTGTGTTACCAATTGTTTTCTTGGTGACTATGGTCCCAGCTGCCTTGAGATCATTGACAAGTTTCTCCCGTGTAGTTCTGGGCTGATTCCTCACCATTCTCATGATCATTGCAACTCCACGAGGTGAGATCTTGCATGGAGCCCCAGGCCGAGGGAGATTGACAGTTCTTTTGTGTTTCTTCCACTTGCGAATAATCGCACCAACTTTTGTCACCTTCTCAACAAGCTGCTTGGCAATGGTCTTGTAGCCCATTCCAGCCTTGTGTACATCTACAGTCTTGTCCCTGACATCCTTGGAGAGCTCTTTGGTCTTGGCCATGGTGGAGAGTTTGGAATCTGATTGATTGATTGCTTCTGTGGACAGGTGTCTTTTATACAGGTAACAAGCTGAGATTAGGAGCACTCCCTTTAAGAGTGTGCTCCTAATCTCAGCTCGTTACCTGTATAAAAGACACCTGGGAGCCAGAAATCTTTCTGATTGAGAGGGGGTCAAATACTTATTTCCCTCATTAAAATGCAAATCAATTTATAACATTTTTGACATGCGTTTTTCTAGATTTTGTTGTTGTTATTCTGTCTCTCACTGTTCAAATAAACCTACCATTAAAATTATAGACTGATCATTTCTTTGTCAGTGGGCAAACGTACAAAATCAGCAGGGGATCAAATACTTTCTTCCCTCACTGTACAAATGAATAGGGGAATAAATGTATAGGATCGGGGTAGGGGGGCGCGGCCCGTTTCATTCCTCGCACCAGGGCCCATGCCGACCACGACGCTAGGCCACCGGCATGACCGCCACCTATTTCTGCTAATCGGGTACAGATCACGGTCGCGCTGCTAGAGGCGTCGGGCGTATAAAATCTCGTTCGTGTTTACAAAGCGTGACAAGTCTCTTGACAAAAGAGTTCATCGTTTTGTATGGTGCGCTTGGACTGGTGAGGCGGCATTGAGGAGGGTGCTGGACCGAAAGATGAGCACTCTTGTGAAAATACCGGGACATGAATCACTCGCAGGCTGGTGGGGGGTGGGGGGGTATTGTAAGGGGGGTGGGGGGGGCGGAATAATGGGATTTGCTCGTCTCGGTGATTCGTTAAAAAAATGGACAAAGTAAAGAAGGCTCGGTCTTTAAGGAATTCTTGAAATGTATTCGTTGGTGTCTGTGGCATAGTTTTGGTTGAGTTATTAATGTAAGCAGTGGCCTTTGCAAGAAAAATGTCCGTTTTCATGCTTGATTTTTCTCCCGTTTTGGGACTTGCTTCCATCAATGTCCCCCTATCTAATATTTATCGCTGGTATCTTGAGAACCAATTTCCTTATTTTGTGATTTCTGTATATCTAGGTTGTACACGTGGCTTTGGAGGCATTAATCTTCTCTAAATCTGGCAGACTAATCCCCCTCCTTCCCCTGAACCCATCATTTTTTTAAACTGATGAACACCCGTGCACATACGTACATGCCGGTGTGTTCTGTACCGTCCACCTGTATCGTGTAGATTTGAAAATGTTTTAAGTTGTTTCTCTTTACGGTATTATCACTCTCTCCAAATAACCTCTTAACCCACTTGCACACTCGTAATAATAATGATAATTGACAGGCCTCTCCATGTCGTGTCGAATCTGGGAGTTGTTTGACCAAACTTTACCGCACCGATCATTGTGGGTTGGTGATGGAGGGACCCAGGACCGGTTCGGATATCACTTGCCCACTGATGTTTGCATGGACCAGGAATTGGGTTCATAGTGCAGTGCGCAAAATCACTCCACTGCTCGCTCTTTGTCATTTTATCAACAAGCTTAGATCATCATTTGCAGAAAGACCTCGAAGTACACAAAAGCATAAATCATATTTCACATGCAATTCCAAACGTAATACTTAAAAAAAAATAGTTCACATATTAGGTCATGTGAGGTGGCATTGTGATTACAAACAATATCACTCAAACCTTTGCCATAAAAGACCCGTTGAGATGTAACTGACTTATAACTGCACTCAATACTTCATCAGATTGTTTAGAACATTCACATTGTTTTTGGTCACAATAATAACAATGAAGAGGATAAGTACATTTGTTTCCTAGGCCCTAAAATCTTTATTCGTCTCCCCCCCCACCACCTCCCCCCCCCCCCCCCCCCCGACAGTTGCCAATTCATTTTCCGGACACGGTGGACAAAGTGGAGTCCGACAGCGGCCCTGTGCGGTCGCTGCTGCCGCGATCGGCCACCACGCACGCCGTGGCGCCGGTGGTGGTGGCGGTCGGGCACGCGGTCTCGCTGGTGCTGGCGCTGAGTCTCCCTGAGGGGGCAGCTCTCACGGCAGGAGCGCCCAGCGCATGGCAACTTCTCGGTGCGCGGAAACCCCCGCGCGTGTGTGCAAGGAGAGACGCACCTTTGTGATCCCGTAGCAAATTATCAAGCGTGTCGCCTCTCTCGAGCGAACGTGAGGCAGCGCTTGTCAGCTGTCTACGGCGCTCTGAGCCATTACTAGAAATTCCACATATGGCGTGTAGTCTGTGCTACGCCCGCACAATTGGCTTCGCTCAAAATTTGTACCCGTTTTGTCAGCTCTGGAGGGATAAATGGCTGAGTGAATGCCTGACTGATATTTAAACTCACAACCCTCCGATTAAGAGCTTTGTGCTTTAATTGCCACGCCACCTACCCGGATTTACAATGCACTTGTTAATCCATCCCCACCTATCTCCCATTCCGGGTTTTAGCAATGAGTTTGTTGACGCACTGTGTTGGCAGCTTTGATCATCATCCCGCACCTCCAATTAGCACGGTTGGCTTTGTATAGGGCGAAAGAAGTTCAACATACACGCATACATAATTATCTCCCTCCACCTATCCCTGCCCTGATTCTCACAGATTAGCTGGCTGTAGTTGTTTAAGTCTGTCCAGTCTGTTAGTTTGTGGACCCAAGTATTCCTTGCAGTGGCCTCTTTTTGTTGTCCCCATAATGGTTTCTTGTTGGACGCTCGTGTTTACCGGGTCTATCGATGCACCCAAAGAACGGCAGTTTTCTTCATTTAATGGTGGCTAAAAGTCGATGTTTCTGTCCTGAATGGAAGTAAATTTGGCTCCATTCTCGTGGCTAATTGTGTGCGCTGTCCATGGCGTTTGCAGTAACGTTGCGAGCCCCACGATTTATACCACCCGTTCGGATCCTGAGGGCACACTACAAGAGCGTACCACACTGTACACTTTGTGTTGAACACACTTCGATATGGGGTGAAATGAACATGATCAGTGGAATGAGGGACAAGCAGACATCAGCAAAAAATACATAGACAATTCTTAGATCAAATAAACAATCATACGCATTTAATCCCACGTATTGAGTTAACACATCTAAACAGCTAGAGTTAGAACTATACATAATTACAATGCAGCTGCAAAGCGTAAGAATAAGTATGTTTTTATGGAGAAAAAAAGTCCTTGGTGTAATACTATTTTTTCGCTTGTTATTCTTCATTTAAAAGTGGACGGATTAACAATAGACCAAAAATTACCTTCAAAAAAATTCCCCATTTCAAAATACACACATTTTGTATTTTTTAGAGGCCATGACCCGACCTGGACAGCGGGCAAAGAACATCGAATGGCATGATAGGTTGCTTGTTATTTCGCACTCGAGACGCCTATTGATAGATGGCTCAATTATAGTATTTTTAAAATCGTCATTGTGGGGTACTGCAATTGATTTAAAATACGTTTTCGTCATTACATAAACCAGGACTGGCCACGGATTTGTGCGGGGCACTCGACTGAGGTGGAGGGTGGGCGTGGAAGAGGCATTATGACAGTCGGCGCTGCGAAGCGCGAATTGTATCAACGCAGTTGGATGTGGGTGATGTCATCACGCAGATAGATGCGGTGACGTCACCAGCGCGTATTGGGCCGGCCCACGTGCCGGCCACCAAATTGAATATTACCGTAGTATGATACCGCTGCTGATGCATGTCAATGTTTGCATGTCCTTTTAACTTAAAAAGCAAAGGTAGTGCAAGCACGAGACTTTTGTTTTTTAAGGTTATGTTATTACCGTTACAGAGACGGCACCAAAGCCGCAGCTAAAGCACATTGAATTAAATGTATATACTTGAAAATATTATTCTATACCAAAAAATATTATTGTAAATCGATAGTTCTGTTGATTATTTTCTTTAAAATAGCTTTTTGGAGTTTTGCTGAACATCGGTCATTATTTTGTCCCGTTCAGCGATACTGCGGTGTGAGAACTCAGCTGCTAAAGACCATCCGGCATGGCGTGGGCTTGTTGCGACCTTATGCTCCACAGGGAGCGAAAAGGAGTAAGCTAAGCCTCTTTTTGAGTGCCCAAATAGTGTACATCAGATGTATTGTTTAGCGTCTTTAGGAGTGCCTCGGTTACAGTTTCACAAAAACAAATGTGCGGTTTGCAAAGGAATGTGATAAAATTGGCTGCTGTTTGTCGTAATTCAAACACTGAAATCGAAAGGGCAGCTTTAAAAAACAAAATCACAATTTTTTTTACTTTCTGGTCAAGAGCACAGACTCTCAATATACATAGATAAAAGTTAATATAGAAAATACTATAATAACGGTAATACAATAAGATGATAACAAATCCAAACTGTAGGCACAATTGCTATACATGAAGCAACTCCTGAACCCATTGAATGGATTACCATACCTAACATACGCAGAAACTCTTTTGTTGGTTGCTGTTCAGATGCCGTATGGAAGCGAGAGTCTAAACAATAATAGCAACGACAACAAAACTGAAGGGGTAAATAATTAAACATTGGTGGAGGATAGGATGTCTCTGCAAATGGAAATGTAGTGTAGGAACAAGGGAGTGGAGGCCGCTGTGCCGGATGAGCTCTGCACATGGGCGTTGATGAAATGTGATTAAGCCATCTGGCTTTGGCCGCATTGTTGGAGCCTTGCATACATTCTCACCGAACAATTTGTTTCGCTGTTGGGTTCGTGGCTTGCCCGCCTTCCTGGCTTTGCTGGATTAATGTAATTTTTTTTCTACCATATATGCGCCAGTGGAAATTCCAGGTGCTACTATGATGCGTCAGAAATTGTCCGAAAAATAATTCGATAGATTCCTTTTGCACGGCAGTCGCACGGGCAACGTCGGAGGGGTCCATTCACAGCTCTCGAATGTGCAGGAAATTGTTGCACTGCAAATGCGATGTCGATTTGGAACCTCTATATATGCCTGGACAACTGCATGCATCTTCTTTCGCAAGATTGCTGCATGCAGCCAGCAAGAATGTATCCAGTACTGCATTTAATTTTGTGTATGTATTGGTATTTGTGCGTAACTCATATGTATCCTCTCTAAGGTTGCAATAAGAACTATGTACACACATGGTTCTGTCACCATTCGTGCATTAACGAATTGTCAATTTGATTCAAGAACTGAATTTTTTTTTTACCTTGTTTATATTTCTCTTATATTCGATATGTCGTATGTTCTCCCTCGTTCCGTTTAAATCATTTCCATCAGCTCAAAGGTAACATTCCGTATTGCATTATATGCATCTATTGTAACTAATCAATTGATACACGCACAATTCGATGCCTGGATCGCAAGCATTACATTTATTTTGATTCATTTATTGGTGAATCGTCAACACATCTCAGGTATACACTGTTGACATCTTTAGAGTTTCGGCATTGCATCTCATTGCGTATTTCAGCATTACTGCCAATTTTATCTGTTTAAACATGCCCCTTCGGTGTATAGCATTGTGGAGCCTCCAGCTGTGATTATTGAAAAATTTGGCTCGATTATGGGCATATGTCTCAATTACAACTCTCAACAATGAACTGCCCCCACATCTGAGCCGTGTAACTCGAATCCTGCCATATAGTCGGCGTTTCTGTTTATTTTTCCCCCTGCGTCCTGATGAAAGCAATTTGGCTCAAGCGTTGGGCACTGCTTGCTTTCCCATGAAAAAAAATCCTTTCATCTGCGCATCATGTTTATCGATGATTAAAATGTTGTCGAAGAATATACCATTGCTGTACGAGTATATTATGTAATGTTAGTTTAACACGTAGCAGGCTTTCGCGACCAATATTATTCATAATAAAGGTTTTTGGGTTAGATCGCGTTATTTATGAACAGGGGCGGAGCCAGGGGGGGTGACAGGGGTGACATTCTGCGTATAAGTGTACGACACTCGGTCTAGCGGACTCCGTACAACTGCATTGTCAGAGTGTGTCGCCAACCGATGGCGTTTAGTTCAACAGCCTGACTCTCTTATCATTCATGAAATTAAAATTTGTTGAATGTCACCCCGGCCTGAAATCCTGGCTCCGGCCCTGTTTATGAATGTGTCGTAAACCTCCACCACCCGACATGGCCAATCAGCAAAAAAGTGTCACGTTGACAAAAGACAAATAGTTCACTACTTTAGCCCACCGCTGTGTAAATGTTGTGGATTCACTCTTCAACACACCGGTGGGCTAAAGTAGTGAACTATTTGTCTTTTGTCAACGTGACACTTTTTTGCTGATTGGCCATGTCGGGTGGTGGAGGGTTACGACACATTCATAAATAACGCGATCTAACCCAAAAACCTTTATTATGTATGTGATGTTAATTTTGCACAACGGTAATTATTGATCATGTAAGCTGGACAGTTATTATTTTTACTTTTAGCGCATACGTTTCCCTGAAGACAGAAATATAAACATACTGCTGTACGAGGGCTTCCCCCCACCGTGCAGTGCTTGATTCTTACTTGACCATACTTCATAATGCTCGTCAGTGTGGATTGGTCAGAGGCCGTATATGCCATGCGTATACAGGTATTATATCGGGTCTCCACTAGAGCGAGCTCTGGAGAGCTCCTCTCGAGGGTATTTTGGCCCTATCTTCCACACCGGTCAGAGGTCTCGGAAAAGGAGGGGTGGGTCACACTTAGCTACGCCATACGAGACATGCCCACTGACTCCCACACCGCGTTAACAATTGTATTGAACAGTGCGTGGCATGGTGCAAATAGCGTTATGAAATGTGGCCTCCCACAAGATCAAGAAGCTAGTGCCACCCACGTTACTTGGAGGCTTGCCCATTGAGTTCCTCAAAATTACATGTAGGAGGCAGCTGTCATCAAACAACCGTACAACCAGTCAGTCACGTTTTTTTATTTCATTACTGTCAATGTCTCTCTCCTAGGTCCCAAGTGGCTGCTGAGCAATCAGTCGACCAGGGGCCAGCTGTCGTGTCCATTGGCCGACACGACGGTGCCGCTGCTCGTGGTGGCCCGTGGGGGCCAGGACGGTGCCGATTCGACCGTCACGCTGGAGGCCGCTGTGTTTTACTGCGCGGAGGCAAGCGGCGCTTGCCTCATGGGCGGCGTGGCGTTCAGCATTCCGCTGCGGGTGGTGGCCGACGGCCCGGGTCGCGGGGACGTCGCCATCAGGTTGGAGCACCAATTCTGAGCTCCTGGCCTGTTGGGACGGGGCTGATGTGGAGAGGCGTGGTGGGGGGGGCCCCTTCGTGGTTCTGCAGTGTTGCGGTTCTCCCGTGTGTGCAGGAGACACGTAAAACTCGGGAGCATTGTCGGTGGTTGTGTTGTTGATCAGTATCACCGCCAGCGTCCGTGTGACTTCTGAACCCTTTCCCGTTCCGATGACGTACGCGCGAGTATGTCATCAGTTTTTCTTCGAGCTCCGTTTCAACCGGAAGGAAAAAAAAACTTTATCAGTACCGAGCTCACACAAGACCATGCGGGGGAGCGTGTGACACAGTTTGTGTCGTGGAGTGCGTTCGTAAGTACAGTGTCATTAAAAACAACAAATAAAGTTAACGCTGAACCACTTTCGCTACTCTGCAAATTGCAGTGGTCTCAGAATGGGAAAGGGTTGATGCACATAATTGTCTAGCACAGCTGCCACTTGCCACATTGCAGAAACCAAATGACTAGAATGGTCAACAATCATCTGGAAGAGATATAACCTACCAATTAGCCTGACGAATGGGGCTAATACACTTTTTAAAATGAAATCACTCATATTTTATCAGAAGTTCACCTTTGTTACTGAAGCTTGTTTTATATACTTTTGCTGGAACGATTGCAAAGCTGCTGAGTCTTTAGGGTCTGTGTGGGTAGATGATTGTATTCCTTTCATGACCGGGCTAATTCCTGAACGATGCATGTCTGTCCGTATGGCAACTTTTCCTCTATTCACGAGTGGGTGGTTTGTGGGGGAGGTGGCCCTTCCAGTTGGCAGAAATCTCTACCAACGTGAGAGCACGGGCGTGCATGTGTTTGTGCGAATGTGTTGGGGTGTACATACGTGTGATTAAAATGCACGGCCAATTACCACAGCACAATTTTAGACAAAAATATGCAGCGTTTAGAGCTTTCAACGAACCTTGCCGAGAAACAAGCAGATCATATGTACAAATATATATTTCAAAAGCCACATGTAAAAAAGATCGTTTGCATAGCCAATTTTCCGTATTAAGTTCTGAAATAGAAAATACGTCGATGACATGGGTGCCTTAATTAATCACGTTTATTTTGGACTATTTTGTTGCCAAAACAAATATCTTGTCAGGTTTTTTTTTTAAATGTCCGTAATGAATCGGTGGCAAAGTACAGAAAAAAATTAAAATTATCTGACAAAGTGTAACCTTGAGTGAATGCTACCCGATCCCCCTGCCGATGAAGGCAACGCCAGCAAAGTTGCGGCCTTTGCTCGGATCTGAAGCTTGCTTTCATTATGCTTGGGTCCAGCACAGGCATGCATTGTTCCTGAGCCTGGATATACTTCTTTGGGCGCATACACGGTATGACTTCTCTGTGCACTATATTCTGCAATAATATGCGGTGCACACTAGCCATTTTTTATATATACTCTTTGAATTCACACGTATATTAAGTTAATAAAATATACCAAAGGATTTTGTAATGGAAAATGTGAAAATAAATGGCGTTTGTCTTCTGCGAATAGTCGTTTAATTTATTTTGCTAAATAGATTGTGATGTTTCAGGTGTCCCGTGTGGCAGTCGCACTTCGTAATCACCGCTGCTTACTCCGTTGCTTACTCAGAGAGAAAAAAATAATCCCCCAAATACATTTTCTTATTTTCTGTCGTCCACAAAAACGCTGCCACGCTTGTTGGCGCGACAGTTCGTCCCGTTCTGTCTGGGGAAATGACACATTTAGGTGATGGTAAAAGAAAAGTGAGCCAGCTGTGACGCCTATCTGCCACTTTTCGAAGTTTAAACTTTGAAACCGCCATGCGCAGCGCATTTGCACTTTAAAATGTATATTTCATTGGTGAAACCTAATCCCCTATTCCTTCGTGTAAAATTTGTTTTGGCAAGTTGTTGGTTGTTATTGCCGCTTCACGTATCTCATTGACCTGCACTTCAATTCCCCTTGGTCAATGAGGAAAAGCCCCTGCCGGCTGATGATCATTTTAGATTAAAATGTGTTTTTTTTATTTCGAGCATGTCACCCAACACACCGGCCTATACCAACGGGCGTGTTAAACGTAAACAAAAAAAAACACGTGCCCTCTGTTTTCAGAGTGGATGTTAAAGATCGGGCGACGTTATCCGAAAACGAGTAGGCCCGTGCGTGCCTTCGCTGCGGTCCAGGTTTTGCTAAATAAAAAAACGCATTCGTAATTACCTCATGTATCCAAATGGGGAAAACCACATCACCCCCTACTGGAAAGCTACGCCTGTCTCTCAAAAATTACACCCTTGTAAATTAACGGCCTTGCGCTATATAGGAATGGCGCAACACCACACGCATGCATGTTACAGCTCATTATTTGGGCTCATGATTTAGCATGGTTTTAAAACAACACCACGAAGTTGTCTGGAGGCTCTCCCAGACCATGCTGCTGGCTGCTGTGAACAAGCGTTCATCGAGCCGTTCGCTAAAAACAACCGTGCCAGTGTGCTACTACGTTCCCCGCGGTTACAAAAGACTAATATACACACACATGCAACTATCTGATAAAACTACTGACCCCAACAAATTGTCGGGGGCTTTGAACCACGGTTATGAATATTACAGGAGGTTTGAGAAACCGCATTTGTAAACACAACCCCGTATCAGCACAGGCTGGGCCAATCAGCCGACGCAGTCTTGGAACGCACCATCGATCTGTGTGCGCGTGCATTCGCCTGCGTGTACGTGGATAATTCGGGCACGGCTGCATGTGCCCGACTTCTGCGCCATGCCGTGTGGGGTGTTTTGCATTTCAACAAGTCGCCAGCGTGTATTCCCAGGTGTACGACTGTATATTTGGGGGGGGGGGGGGGCGGCGGGGAGGGCGTGCCGTTGCCTCGTGTTTGGCTGACTCCGCTTCAGCAAAGCGCTGCGAGCTTTGTTGACTTGTTAAATCAACTGAAAAAGCAGCCCGTAATGGATTGTGAGAAGCGTTGCGTGGTGTTGCCGGTGTAAAGTTCGCCAAACGGCATGCCGCACAAATGTACATTCTTGGGGGTGTAAACATTTCCACGTGCGCCCGGTCGTTTGGGCGTGAGGCAAGCGATCTCCACGTTCGCTTTTGGGTCAAGCCCTCGTCCTCAGACAGAACGGGTTACATAGTCCCGTGTATGGCTAAGGGTGTTTAAAGTACTTTCCTTGTTCAGCCTCTTGTAAAAGAGTTTGGCCGTAAATTGTTACGCAGAGCATTCGCTAAGTTGGCAATCGTAGGGAAATTTAGTGGATTTATCCTCCGTTGTTCGATTCATTTTCTGCCCGACTCGCACATTTTGCATAACTCGACGCAACCGTGCCTCGTACGGCCTATGCATGGAAGTTTGAATCACACAAGAGCACGCACAAGTACTTTTGTTTAAATTAATCATGGGTGTGCGAATGGGAAATGGCAGCCGGCTCCTTCGGGAGTTCCACTCAAGCCTCCAAACTTCAAGTGGAGACACGGAGCCCCCTCTCAGCGCAGCTGACTCGTCGACCAAGCATCTCGGCGTAGCTGTGGGGGGGGGGGGCTCCCTTTTGGTATTTTTTGCCCACTGAGACTCCCCCTGCCACCCCCCCCCCCCCCCAAAAGCCACGGCTCCATATCTGCACAGCATCAAGCCTGCATGTTTTCACATATTAACTGTAAATTTTGCGATACACACAACCGCCCATTTTGAGCACGAGCGCCGTGGTGCATTGTGCCCCTTAAGCGCGTGTGAGTGTGTGCCCGATGTGAAAGCAAGTGGCCAGATGTTAACTCCCACGCCTGTTATGCAGGAGATCGTGGGTTCGATCCCAACCCTGACGCCTGCTGTATATTTGGAGTTTGCGTGTCTCTCTCACTGTGGTCGTGTGGATTTTTCTCCGGGTCTTCAGATTTTCCCTTCCATATTTAGAAACATGCATTTAGAGTACTATTTGGCTGCTAGAAATTTCTACATAAGCCACTTCGTTGAGCTTTCATTTATGACCAGGTCACTTCTGAAAAAGAGCTACAAAGCTCAGTGGACCTTACCTGGTAAAATCAAAATATCTTTTAGTTTATAAAAAAGTGATCCACTGAGATGTTAAGGCTCTTTCCTTCTCTACCCCCAACACTTTCCCAGCCAAATGCGGCGAGCTCAGAAGGCCATACAAGGGGTTTCATAAATAATCAGACAAATTAATGCGTGATGAGACGAGGCCTCGCCTCTTGATCTCCCATCAGTCGAAAACGGGGGGGGGGGGGGGGGGGGGGGGGGGGGGGGGGGGGGGAGGGGGTAAGAAATTATGGATTTGCATTCATCGTCGAAATAATTCAAATGACTTTTTTACCCTAAAGATGTGCCGTGTTCGAATGACAAACATGCAGTGTCCTGCTTTGCCCGAATGTTGGATTAAATGTACGCCAAGGCTGCAGCCTCATCCCTGCTTGTCGGGAGCGGGGCCGTGGGACCAGACCAAACTGAGCTTTGTGACCTTTCGCGCACAATTCCCTGAACGGTGGCGTGACATTAGGGTAGAGACAGGCCGATTGGTGCTCATTTCACTTGCGTCCACAGTAATGTGTTCAAAGTGGATGCTGGGCAACTATCAAGTAGGCATGACTTATGGCTTTTAATTGCTCGAGCCACATGAACTAAAATAGCTTATTTTGCCAGTGCCATTTTGTGTGTGTGTTTTAGGCACTGCAGTGGGAGCGGTAGTGCAGCGGTTAGCGCGCTGTGCTACAAAACCAACGGCTCAAGTTCGATTCCCGCTGATGGCCAACATCGGTGACGAATATCTGAACCGATCCTGGGCCTCCCCTAGGTCGACTCAGCCTCAAATGAGTAACCTGGCACGGTGTGTAAACATCGCCACTAGGGAAACAAAGGCGGTCGGGCGTGGTGCTGGCCACCCACCCCTTCGTGTACAGTGCCGGCCTTCAAAGGTGCTCGCTAACAGCACTTGCCCCAACAGTTTGTAAAGGCTATACGGGGGATCTTTGTTTTTGTAAGTTGCTATTTCTTCTTCTAAAATCTTGGTCTACAAAGTCCCCAAGTTATTTGAACGTTTTGCCAAGTAGCTAATTGCATGCTGAGCAGTTTTTCTTAAAACATTTTCTGAGAGCCAAGCCAGGGGGACTACGGTGACATGCGCACAAAAGTAGAATAGCTGATCCCGTTGCCGGGTTCTGACACTGGAGAGGAGGTGAAACTCACCTCTCTCTCTCCATGAAATGCAATCCCACGCACTCTGTCAGTTTCCAACCATCTCTAGTGTGCGGTAAAGATCCTGTGACATAAACTGTTATGGCAAGGAGCTTGTTTTTTTTTGTATTACATTGCAGTTGGTGTGGGCATCACCGGCTATGTGTTCATCGATATTACACGGCCCTTTGTCAAATCCACTGCTGGATGAAGGCCTATAAGACGCCGTGTCGGTCCTGGGGGCTGTTCTGGTTTTTGACCCCCGTTCTTATCAAAGCGCCGGTCGGTGTCCGTTGGTGAGAGGGGTTGGTGTCGGGGACCGGTTCAGATATCACTCTCTCACGATGTTGAACGACAACAGCGAGCACGCCGCAGCAGCTGCTGCGCTCCGTGCTTTCTCATGAAACATATTGACGCGACTTGGTAGTTGTGCAAATTGTATAATTCGACAAACCGCGCTTGCCTTTTCACAGGCAGATACGTTTCTACGAAAGTTATAGGTATAACGGTGAATTGAGGTCCATCAGGCAGTGAACTGAAGAGGTTTTGTGTCACTCAGAGGTGTTCACAACAGCAAAAAGTTTTCTAATTCACTTGTTTATCTTTTGTTCATCGCATACATTTATCGGGTAAACACTGCCGACGTAAATATGACCGATATGTAATCCTCGGTGGTTGCTATTATTGCCAATAGACTTCTTATGACGAGACAGATTCATCTATTTAATATAAGTGGTGCTGCGAGTCTCCCTTTGTGAATAAGACACGGGTAAAATAGCCTCTTGGGATGCAAGTACGTGTACGCAGAACTCCGTTCTTTAGCTCCACGTATAAATGATAAAAAAATCATTTTCGTCCATCAGCCTATTGGATTGGCAGACCAAAATTACCCACTTACATTTGTTTAGGAAAATCCTGCTGTGTTACTGATGTTATTGGAAAAAAGGACTTCATCTAAACAATTTGACTCTGTTCATCGTAAAAAAGCAATATTGTACACAAACTCATTATGCTCTGCTGTGTGAGCGTTATAGGCGAAGTAATATGTAAGCAGAACTCCATTCTGTATCTCCACGTAAAAATAAACATATTTTAGTCCATATATAGTAACAGGCGGTGACATGATCTGGGGGGAGCGCTTGCTGCAGAGTTTCACGGTTCGTGCCCAGCGGCCACCCTGATTAATACTGCGTGTGTATTAACGGTAATAATCACGTGCCGTCTGCGTCACAGTGGCCGTTTCAGATCCCATGAGGTCATTCGCAAGAGTAGGCGGTTGCGTGCCAGTCCAAAAATTCGGAAAATCTCCCAAAAATGACTCACTTGGAATAT